GCAGTAAAAGAGTCGTCCATGAACCCATGTGTCTTATGCAGTGATTATGCTAGTGTCGGTCCGTTCGAAGGGACGAAAGTCAATGGCCAAATTAGTGACGATAAGCCAACTGTGAACAAGAGGGTAACTGTTAGACTGACTTGCACGAATAAAGGCATTTCAGGTTTCAAACTACTATTTGAATGTTATTATCTTTGGTGCAAACTACTCTGGGCCTTCGCTTGGTTGGTCAGATTCGTCGTATGTTTGTTAGTCATCTACATTCCACGATATAATGTCATGGGCGTGTTACCATTCAGAGTTGAGAATATAGATGATGGAAGGAGGTTAGCAAATGAACTCAACGACGATTTTCCAACTTAAGGGCGTCAACCTGAGAAGGGTTGTAGGTGTACTGCTGTAAGTCCTGCAGTTCTTCAAGGGTAGCTCGTCAAGGCAGAATCAACAACATTTGATGTATTGATCGTACATATATTTGTGTTAAGTAATAGAGTGGGTTCCAATTCATCTAACTGTCGGTTAGTTATACAGTTGTTGCATTGTGTGAATCATTTTGTAATGTTATTGTGAGTACTTTTGAGGAGGATTTGACATTCAAGAAACAGTCACAAATAGATGGAAGATTAACTTTACGTGAGAAACAACCAATCAGAAGTCTGTGTTTGTTTGCTTAAATATCCATAGCGATGTACATGAAAATATATAAATATGCGTTGATTTCCTTAATAAATGATCTGTTGCCTGACTCTTGCCTTCTGTTGTTACAGTGGTACTGTCGTCAAAGAGCGTAGATCCCACGCGCCGGGGAGAGCGTGTTGGTGTGATGTAGTATGCTTGTTGTGTGTTGTGCTTTTTGTCTTGCTTTTCCATTTTAGCCTAGTACCGATTGGCCCAGGTTCTCGCATTGGCAGTTCAGTTCAAGGTTACCGCCGCCGTGGAAAAAAGGGATGGACCCTATCTTGCCGGGGAGTGTCAATGGACGTGAACATTGAACGTTTGTTTATTGGAACTGGCAGCCATTGGTGGACAACTCGAAGGCGCGAATGGTTCGATCGTGGGCAAGTTGGAAGAAGGCGGAAAGGAATGCGAATAAAAGTACTTTACAACTTCGTTTGTACTAAACATTTGTTTGTAGACTCTGTATTTTGTCTCACTTTAATTGCCAAACAGTAAAAATTCGTTCAAGGAATACTGGTGTTTCGGATTTAAAGTTGAAACGAAATACTTAGTCATTATCGGTTCAAATCGCCTACGTTACAATAGGAACTTAAGGCTAAGTTCCTTGACAACATCCTTAAACAGCCACTAGGATTTTATTCTCTTTTCTATATTTAGAAGGGTGTTAAGAACAGTCTGGTCACCGGGTTCAGTGACTCACGCCAAAGAAACAGCAGAGAGTGCGAACAGAGATGAAGTCCACCAGGACATGTGGCCACATATCATTCGTCAGCGTTATTTACAGACTAAGCCAGTCATATACTAGTTCACAGGGTTTCATGCATTCTTGATAATTTTCTCGTAAAATCTGAATATTCGCTCGAAATTCAAAAAATACATCCTTCGTCTACTCAAATGCCGAGGGAAGAATAATTATTGAAATCTTTAATTCTCTCATGGTCACTATTCGGAATACAATTCAGAGTAAGTAATTCAAGAAACACAAAAAAGCAATCCGTGTGTCACAAATGAAAGAAGGTGTTTCGAGGTGTGAAAAGAGCAGGATGTGAGCCATGCAAGAAAATGACCTAGTTCTATCGGCGTCCAAGGATTTCATCTAAGATTAAATCTAAATAAGCAGTGGAAGTCATGTACCACGTGAGTGCAGAATTAAGCAGGATAAAAACATGACTGGACGTGGTAGAACGGGGTCAAAGCAAAGCCTGTGAGTATATCGGAATGGAATAACAATTATTTAAATACGAAAATTCACTGCGAGTCATAAAAAGCAGTCATTCTTGACCAGGAGATATCGCTCCAAATCGGTATGAATGCCTGGCGCAAATGCATCATCTACCTGTGAGTTATAGTAACCAATGCATCGAAATACATCCTGGGACATACCATAATTTTCGCATCGCATATCAGTTTAATGTCTCTATTTTAAATTTCTTTTCACTTTCTTCTCTTGCTTTGTGTGCTACATGGAGTGTGACGACTTGAACTGCTGCACATCGGTGCAAAGTTCTATGTGGAAAGCAGACAGACGTGATATGTGTTGAGTATTGTTGTATGCAGAGACTAATCGGAGAATGTGATTGACCTAATTGATGTCTTGCTTACTGTCATTTAAGTGAACATGTTAGCCACTAAGCGAGTGCTATGCCGTTTCAATCAGGCAGATCAGACAACGATTTGGGTAGGCATCTTACCAACGTTTGCAGCACACAAATAGTGGGACAGGTAGACAAGCACTCTGGAAATGGTGTAAGCTCTCACACTTTTCGATTTTGATTGTGACCGCTGTTTGGACTTGTGGGCTGGTCAGCCGCTGTTTGCCAAGGTCTGCTCCTTCCACTGCTTAAAATTGGGTGATAGGAGTAGGAGTTTCAGGGGTTTGTCACAACTGAAGTGTCAGACACGTGGAGACAGATGCGAGATAGAATCGTGTCACATAGGAAAGATAGATTTGAGGTCAGTGAGATTGAATTCGCCAACAACTCTATTTTATCAGAGTTGAACGAGGGTGTTTCTAGGCGTAAAGAGGATAGGATGTAAGCCATGTCAGATACTGACCCGGTTCTATCGGTACCCACAGATATCAACCAAGACTAGTCCGAAGTAAGCAGTCGAATTCATGTAACAGGCGAGTGGGAGAAACAAGTAGTTTATATACATGAGTGCATATTGTGGAGTGCGGTCGAAACAGTGCCTACGAGTCTATGTGAATGGAATAACAATTGTTCACGAAAGACAGTTCAGCCTAGGTTTTGGAAAGCTGTGTCATCCTTGTGAGAGTAGCATTTCTCAGATGGTCTACTGGTCAACTTAACTGTATCTGATGTGGAGGCGTGCGTAGCGAATATGTGGTCTGCAATAGGGTTAGTAGAGGCTGTTGAAGATCAGTAATTGCAGTCCGTTGATTTTCGTGTTCACACACAGACATGTGTGTACATAGATCAATCTCGGATTATGTTCTTTGATCTGACAAAGTCCGATAAGGCTGCCTGACATTCGTTGATATCTGTGGATCAGGCGTATATTTGGCAATACAAACACTTGTAGAATGGATTATTTTGTGACGCAGGTTGCCTGTTTTCTGTTGCGATTCAATGAGGATCTGTCGTCTGACTAGGGAGAGTGCCTTAAATATCTAGTCAATTCCACACATGTACATGAATGAAGGAAAAAAGTTGTGTGAGTAACTTGATATGATTATGAGCAATAGTTTGTGCTCGAAACGTCATCAGTTAATATTACTGTATAACACTGTGTGATTTATCAAAATAAAATCCTATCCATAATGGAGTTATACTCTACCAGAGTGCTCAAGTTTTATGCTTATATCAAGAGTGCCTTAAAGTTCCATGCTGAGAATGATGTCACAGTTGGAGACTTTCTTTACGAGATGATATCCGGGAGATGAAGGAGAAGAACGAACCCAAGTGTGCAGTATTCCTAAGTTATGAATTATTCCCGACTGTTGCTTCGTTATTACTATTCCTTTTGTCTCATGTCTCTGTTTACTGTCTCTATTTTGCATTTCTTTTAACTTTCTTCTCTTGCTTTGTGTGCTACATGTAGTGTGACGATGAACTGCCCAGATTCCTGAAACCTCGCATGCTACTTTGCATCGCTAACGCAACCTTTGGTGTGACCAGTTCACCGTAGGAGGCAACATTGAAGAATGCCGAATCTCTTCTATATGTCCTTTTTCCCTTAACATCTGGCAGTCTTGTATCCCCCAGAGAGTACGACGTGTAAGACCTCTGACCTAGGTACATTACCGCGCTTTCCTTGGATTTAATTTCCAGACTCCAGAGGCTAGCCCATTCAGCTAATTTACTTCGGTCGTTTGTAGTACCAACCTATCGTCGTTACTATTTACGGTTTTCCATATCTTAATGTCGTCCGCCAATAATAAGGAAGATGAAGTGAGATTTTTCGTAGTTGATTTGCGTATAATGGGAACATCAGGGGGCCAAGAACAGTTCCCTGATGTACTCCACTTATTACTGCTTTCCACCCTTGCAGCACACCATTAACCCTTACCTTCTGCCTTCTATCCATCAGGTAGTGGCTAAACCACTCACATAGGCGTTGGTCTAATCCAAAACGTTTGAGTTAACTATGATGACCTAAGTGGGATACCTTATCGAATGATTTACTAAGGTCGCTGAAGATAACGTCGAGTAGATGGTTCTTATCCCTGGCTTCGTTCCAATCTTCTGTGGATAACAGTAAGTTTGTCAGACAGAGTACACGGCGTGAAAGAACTGGAAGAGAACGAGATATATCTGTGAGGAGCACAGGCTCTCCTTGTGATTAACTCAAGAAACCGACCTCCACAGGAAATAGTTCCTCCGCCTTAAAACTAAACCATCAAGAGGCCTGTAGGTGAGGACGGGTGATGAATACATGGTGAAAATATCAATTAACCTAAATACTCATCTGTCGTTTAACGTAAATGTGGCAGGCAGTGGTTAGATGTGCATTGAAAACCCCTGAAGATCTGCGGCCAACTTTAACAATGAAGAGGCAACTCTTAGGATGCAATACACGCAATCAAACCTACAGAGATGCATTGAATTCAGAAGACTGTAGCGCATAGTGCGGCTTCAGTGTCTTCAGATGAATCGTGTGTGTCTCTTAGTTCGTTGCAAGGAATATTGTGCTTATCAAAGATGAGTGACAAATAATGAGAGAGGAAGAAACAACAGCTATGAGTGATGTAAAAGTCAGTTGAAACAGCAGTGTACACTCCGAAAGGCATTGATTCATTCACTTTGTTTGAATACACCCGGAAAACCAGTGAACCCTGGCGGCGTACTTGTTCATATCACATGGCAGGAGGGAAAAAGAAAAACAAGGTTTCTGCTGGTAGTGTTGGGGTAATATTCCAGTCCTATGAATGTTCATCAAGTTGTTATAGGCAATCCAGGCATCCAAATCATTTGCAGTTGTTTCGGAGAACAAGGAGCCTAAACTTGATTGCAGTCAATGGCCACTATTGTTGAAGGTAACTGAGTGCTCATGCTGTAATGTAGTAGAATGTTCATCTGATGAATGTCCGAGAATGCCATTTTGAGGCAGATACCACAGGATACTCTCCTCTACACAGACCCTTAGACGAATACATCAAGTAAGCCCAGTTTATCACTAACCCTTTTTTCAAGGAGTGGAGTCATCAACCTTGACAAACCATGCAATCCATCCTCACACGAAGTAGTTGCATGGGTTAAAAGAGCTCTCGGAGTCACTAAAACTGGTCACAGTGGCACACTGGACCCTAAAGTCTCTGGTTGTCTTATGGTTTGTATTGACCGTGCCACTCGCCTGGTCAAGTCTCAACAGAGTGCTGGTAAAGACTATATATGTATATTCCGACTACACAAACCTGTGGATGATGTGAAGCGTATACAGAAAGTGAGTGATCCAACTGTTTTTTCTGTTTGTGCACTGCTGTCTTCATATGAAATTGATTGAACGCGCCTCTGAACCCTTTTAGGCTGTGGAGAGTCTGACAGGAGCTTTATTCCAGCGGCCTCCACTTGTCGCGGCGGTCAAGCGTCAGCTTAGAGTTCGTACTATTTATGAGTGCAGATTATTGGAGTACAACAAGGAAGAATGTTTAGGTAAGTGCCCGAGATCTCACGCCTCTTTATGTTTAGGACTGGTGAAGGTGAGATGTGAGGCTGGAACATACGTTCGAACGCTGTGCGTACATATCGGTCTCCTCCTCGGTTGTGGAGGTGTTATGGAAGAGCTGAGGCGGACACGGAGTGGTTTCATATCAGAATCAGTATGTGCATGCAATATTGTCTGTTTAACGTTGTAGGACAATTTAGTTACAATGCATGATGTTCTAGACGCCAAATGGCTATATGAAAACAGGCGTGATGAGACTTATCTACGTCGTGTCATAATGCCACTCGAGAAGCTGCTCATCAAACACAAGCGTATTATGCTCAAGGATACGGCAGTAAGTTCGTTTTTTCTATGCATTATCAATGATCACCAAAGGTGTGTGCTATATGCTTTGGCGCAAAACTAATGTTGCCTGGCGTACTACGTTATGACAACGACATTAATATAAATGACGAAATAGTCTTGATGACCACCAAAGGCGAGGCTGTAGCCCTTGGTAAGTCTACTTGGACTGACATTATTATCTTGAAGCTATCGCTCTGATGACTACTGCTACCATTGCAACGTGTGACCATGGATTGGTTGCTAAATTGAAAAGAGTTATAATGGAACGTGATCTATACCCTCGACAATGGGGTCGTGGTCCTGTGGCTATGGAGCGGAAGAAACTTGTTGCTCAAGGATTGTTGAGAAAGTTTGCCAAACCTGGTGAAGTCATGAGTACTCCAAACTCCGTTGGGTAAATTGTCAATATCACTATCCTGTTCTAATATTTTCAGCGTGAATCAGAACTCTAAAAAGGCGAAGACGGAAGAGTCAGCGGAAAATCCAATGTAAGTGGACTGATTGTAATTGATATCCTCTGTAGGCAAAAAGTGAAAGTTCCAAAACTTTCTGAGTCCGGCGATACAAGTAATGACGAATCTGTAAGGTGAGTCCAATAAGTCTTGGTTATAATGATCAAGCATATGTCTGTCTACTGATGACGTAATCTTCTGATAGCCCTTTCCACTTATTCCCATTGTAGTATATCCAGTTCTTTTTGTTTTCAGACAAGAAGCGGATGCTGAAGAAGTGTCCTCGGACGACAGCGATTAACTGCGCATTTTTGTACATATGACTTGATGAATAAACTGCATATTTTCGCAACACTCTTCTATACAACCCGGGACATAAGGGTCGTAGCCTAAACGGGGGAGTATCAGTTGAGAAAATGAGTTGATCAAACCTCAGATTTATGTGCCTGTCGAAATGAGGATAGGTTAGTGCAAGTCGAACTTTGATGAGAGAGAGATGTTGGAGTGTAGAGACCCAGTCGGTCCCGAAATTGACCGCACGACCAAGCGTTAAACACGCTCGTACACCTGATAGGAGTTTATGGCTATCTGAGTGTGCTCCCTTTGTTTTAAGTGTATAGCTATTTCGTAACCAATGCCCAAGGACTAAGGGTTATGCGTGCTAAGTGTAGACAAATAAGACTGATTCAAAAACTACGTGGGTGGGTGAGGTCGTATCTGTTACGTGGAATGTATTTAGGTGTGTATCACTACAATCTTTGTTAACGTTGAATGCAGTAGTGCTTTTGTGGGTGATTGTGTGTTGTTAGATTGGTCCACTGTCATTGTGTTATGATTGATGTTGTATATCTGTTTGAATTAATACCAGTTGAGTTTTGCTGTGATTGATATGAAATCTATCTCCCCTGTGAAGTGTTGTGATAGGGTGAGCAATATTACGGTTATGCGTCGAGTGCTAGGTGAAGAGAGGGAATCAATCGAGGAGGCTGTGAAGTTACATCGACTGAAAAAGCTAAGACATGTGTTACGTATACTTAGTCATCGCCTTCCTCGACAGGTAATGTTAGTTGACATAGGGTCACGCTAAAAATAGTTAGTGGTGGTTAAACGAAAACATGGCAAAAGACAGTGTAATCTATAACAGTTGGTTTAAGCCACGTAGGAAAATGTGGACTTCCTGAATATCTGGCTGGGGTCCTCTGAACGGTAAAACCCAATAGCTGTGGACAATTGGTGATATGGCTCGCAATCGTTATCAATGCCTGGCGCAAATGCATCATCTACCTGTGAGTTATAGTAACCAATGCAACAATATAGTTTTTAGTTCTTACTATTCCCTATGCCTCGCATCTCTGTTTACTGTCCCTATTTTGCATTTCTTTTCACTTTCTTCTCTTGCTTTGTGTGCTACATGGAGTGTGACGACTTGAACTGCTGCACATCGGTGCAAAGTTCTATGTGGAAAGCAGACAGACGTGATATGTGTTGAGTATTGTTGTATGCAGAGACTAATCGGAGAATGTGATTCACCTAATTGATGTCTTGCTTACTGTCATTGAAGTGAACATGTTAGCCACTAAGCGAGTGCTATGCTGTTTCAATCAGGCAGATCAGACAACGATTTGGGTAGGCATCTTACCAACGTTTGCAGCACACAAATAGTGGGACAGGTAGACAAGCACTCTGGAAATGGTGTAAGCTCTCACACTTTTCGATTTTGATTGTGACCGCTGTTTGGACTTGTGGGCTGGTCAGCCGCTGTTTGCCAAGGTCTGCTCCTTCCACTGCTTAAAATTGGGTGATAGGAGTAGGAGTTTCAGGGGTTTGTCACAACTGAAGTGTCAGACACGTGGAGACAGATGCGAGATAGAATCGTGTCACATAGGAAAGATAGATTTGAGGTCAGTGAGATTGAATTCGCCAACAACTCTATTTTATCAGAGTTGAACGAGGGTGTTTCTAGGCGTAAAGAGGATAGGATGTAAGCCATGTCAGATACTGACCCGGTTCTATCGGTACCCACAGATATCAACCAAGACTAGTCCGAAGTAAGCAGTCGAATTCATGTAACAGGCGAGTGGGAGAAACAAGTAGTTTATATACATGAGTGCATATTGTGGAGTGCGGTCGAAACAGTGCCTACGAGTCTATGTGAATGGAATAACAATTGTTTACGAAAGACAGTTCAGCCTAGGTTTTGGAAAGCTGTGTCATCCTTGTGAGAGTAGCATTTCTCAGATGGTCTACTGGTCAACTTAACTGTATCTGATGTGGAGGCGTGCGTAGCGAATATGTGGTCTGCAATAGGGTTAGTAGAGGCTGTTGAAGATCAGTAATTGCAGTCCGTTGATTTTCGTGTTCACACACAGACATATGTGTACATAGATCCATCTCGGATTATGTTCTTTGATCTGACAAAGTCCGATAAGGCTGCCTGACATTCGTTGATATCTGTGGATCAGGCGTATATTTGGCAATACAAACACTTGTAGAATGGATTATTTTGTGACGCAGGTTGCCTGTTTTCTGTTGCGATTCAATGAGGATCTGTCGTCTGACTAGGGAGAGTGCCTTAAATATCTAGTCAATTCCACACATGTACATGAATGAAGGAAAAAAGTTGTGTGAGTAACTTGATATGATTATGAGCAATAGTTTGTGCTCGAAACGTCATCAGTTAATATTACTGTAT